AATAAAACCTCAAATTAGAGTAAATAATATGAACTCACTTTTCCTTCTAGTTAGCAGAATAACAGGCAAAATAGAAAAATTAATCGCTGAAATCAGCTGATCATGCAGCATCGATCGCCACTCCTACTGCAGCCGCCGTCGCGTCCCAGTGAAGTACGCAATTACGGATGGCCAGTCTGAGGGATCACGACTGTAAATAAAACAAAAATGAAAAAATCAAGGAAAGGCAAATTAGATAAAATGGCCTGTAAATTTCTACGATCCGGCGCCAAAGCCATAGAAATACTTAGAACAAACGAGTGGGACGCTCGGGTTGTTTTTGAGAGGCAGGGATAGCCGAGTGGTTAAGAGTGTAGACTCATAATCTCACTCTGAGCCACGAGTTCGATCCCTGCCGAGGCACAAACCTGCCTTGCAAAAATTGCAAAAATGGGGACGATACCAGCGTCAGGCCCAGGTTGACAGGCCGGCTGATGGAGGAACCCGTCACAACAATCATGACAAGTCGCAATAGAATCAGTGTAAAAGCTAGGACGTCACCCGGAAGTGGCGCGCAGAACCCTCGCCCGAGTTCTGTGGTCAGTATGCGAGGGCTACCGAGGGGTGAACGACCTCGGCCAAAGAAGCTAGTTCGAATTGGGACCCTGAACGTGGGGTCGCTTACCGGGAAGTCTGCCTGCAGGAAACGCGATGGAAGGGTGCGAAGGCCCGCGAGATTGGAGAAGGCGTCAAACTCTTCTACAATGGAGCAGACACCAAACGGAATGGCGTGGCCATAGCGGTGGCAGAATCCCTCAAGGACTGCGTCTCCTCTGTGAACAGGATCAGTGATCGGATCATGGGAGTGAGAATGGACACGAAGGAGGGGTACTGGACAGTACTGACCGTGTACGCACCACAATCCGGTTGCTCGAAGCGGAAAAGGATGAGTTCTACCTGACCCTGGACGAGGCCATAAGATCGGTTCCGGAAGAGGACTATCTCACCATAGCTGGAGATCTGAATGGCCATGTTGGGAGGGACAGAAGGGGTCTAGAAAGGGTGCACGGAGGTCAAGGAATAGGGACAAAGAACGCTGAGGGAGGACGAATCCTTGACCTAGCCACAGCCCACGACTTAGCAATCTGCAGCACCTTCTTCGCGAAAAGGAGGACCCAAAAGGTAACCTACAGCAGTGGAGGGAGACAAACGGAAATCGACCATGTCCTGGTCAGAAGATCGTCTCTCAAAACCGTCAAGGATATCAAGGTACTGCCTGGGGAAGAGCTGGGCCCTCAGCACAGGCCTCTCCTGGCAGACATCGCCATAGACCTCCCAAGGGTGAGAGCAGAGCGAAGAATTCGGTGGTGGAAAATGCGCAAGGTAGAAAAGGATAGCCTCGGCCGAAGAATACTGGAGGCTGGGCTCCCAGACCCACATGGGCCAGTCCAGGACACCTGGACCTACGCAGCAGAGGTCATCCTACAGTGTGCAAGGGAGGTCCTGGGAGAGACGCGAGGTGGTATCAGAGGAGACAAGGCAGCCTGGTTCTGGAACGAGGAAGTCCAGAGGATCGTCAAGCAGAAGAAGGAAGCATACAAACGCTGGCAAAAGACACGGAGCCCAGAAGACTACGCTGCCTACAAGAGCTGCAAGCGACTCGCTAAGGCGGCCGTTGCTAAGGCCAAGAATACGGAAATGGACGCCCTGTACGACAAGCTGGAAGGCCGAGAAGGGGACAAGTTCGTCTTCCGCCTGGCTAAAGCTCGGCATCGCGCAGCTCAGGACATCAGGGTCGTAAAGACTGTGAAGAGCAGCAACGGGGCCATTCTCAGGAAACCAGCCGAAGTCAGGAAGAGGTGGGAAGAATACTTCGAGGGACTTCTGAACGAAGAATTCCCTCGCAAGGATAGCCCACAGATAGAGGCGACGGCAGGTCCCATCACTCCCTGGACGAAGGATGAAGTTCGCCGGGAGCTAGGGAGAATGAAAGCTGGGAAAGCAGTGGGTCCAGACGGGGTACCGATAGAGGCATGGAAGGCCCTTGGAGAGCATGGGGTGAGTTGGCTCACGCACTTCCTAAACAACGTAACAGCTGAAGGAAGGATGCCGAATGCGTGGAGGAGCAGCACAATCGTTCCCATCTTCAAAAAGGGGACGCGACGGAGTGCTCCAACTACCGCGGGATCAAGTTGACTCCCCATACCATGAAGCTGTACGAGCGCCTGGTCAACACTAGGCTGAGGGAACTTGTCTCTATCTCGCAGGAACAGTTCGGCTTCATGCCCGAGAGGTCCACCACCGATGCCATCTTCATCGCCAGACAGCTGATGGAGAAGTACCGAGAGAAGCGGCGACCCTGCTACCTAGCCTTCCTGGACCTTGAGAAGGCATTCGACCGCCTGCCAAGGCCTGTACTCTGGAGAGCGCTCAGAGAACGTAACGTTCCGGAACACCTCATCTCCATAGTGAAGGACATGTACGATGGGGCTAAAGCAGCTGTACGCACCCCTCACGGCTTGACAAAGGAGGTAAACATTACGGTTGGGGTACACCAAGGGTCAGCCCTCAGCCCGTTCCTCTTCCTCCTGACTCTAGATGTCATGGCAAAAGAACTCATGGAGGGACCACTGAAAACCATCCTCTACGCTGACGACATCGCCCTGATAGCGGACAGCAGGGAGGAACTCCAGGACAAGGTGCAGCGGTGGCAGGATGTGCTCGCTGCGAATGGACTCCGGCTGAACGTAAAGAAGACCAAGTTCCTAAGCTCCGAAGAGTGCGCCGAAGTCATCGTAGATCGCCATGGCGAGAGCATCGAAAGGGTCGAGGATTTCCAGTACCTGGGGAGCAACCTAGCAGCTGATGGCAGCGTGGACCAGGCGGTGACGGCCCGAATCAACGCAGCCTGGATGAAATGGAGGGAGTCCACTGGCATCCTGTGCGACCGGCGGTGCTCGAGAACGCTCAAGGGCAAGGTGTACCGGGCTGTGGTAAGGCCTACAATGCTCTACGGCAGTGAGTGCTGGCCATCTGCAAGAACCATGAAAGGCAGCTCCACTCAGCTGAAATGAGGATGCTGAGATGGGCCTGCGGCTGGACACGACTCGACAGAGTCAGAAACGAGGACGTCAGAGCGGTCACACAGACGGCTCCTATCCAGCTGAAGGCACGAGAGCAGCGACTGCGATGGTACGGTCATGTACTGAGGAGGCCTGAAGACCACCCAATAAGGAAGGCATTGGAACTCGAGGTAGAGGGCAAGCGACCACGAGGAGCCCCAAAGAAAAGATGGAGGGACGTCATCAAGAGGGACCTCACTGAAGTGAAAGCCACAGCAGAAGATGCAGTGGATCGGAACAAGTGGCGACGTCTAACAAGAACAGCGGACCCTGCGACGGCGCGGGACTAACGCTAGGGAGAAGAAGAAAAACGCTCGGTTGTTTTTATTATCATGTTTTGTGGGAATGTGCTCTGATGGATACTGCAGATGCAGCCGAGTTGCTCTTGAGTTCTGGCCCTCGTCATCATCTTCTGTTCTTATTTTGTAGCACCTCCAATGTTATCCGCATCAGGAAATTGCGTTTTACTTGTATTTGAGAGCGCAATTAAAGGACTTGGCAAAGTGCCAAGGAGCCGCACGCGACACGCGCGCTTACGACGGATGTTATGAAGGACGGGAATCTGCGCCGCAAAAAGGTGTAAGGCGGAGCATGGAGGAATTAGCGTGTTTCACGGTCCTGTATCTCCATTCCTGGGCATGTTTGGGCGGGGGGACCACGACACATCGACAGCTGGGGGGCTGATAGTCTCATACACCCTCAATGTGTTTGAGCGTACCATGTGTCTTTAACATTTTATCCTTTCCGGGTGTCACGATACGCTCCACATCGTACCCTTGGACTGTCTTTCTTTACCTATGTGAAAGGTGTTTGTGCGGCTATCCTGACCGTCACCGAGTTTACATCGTGCCTTACGTGTGGTGGCCAATGCAGTGAAGGAGGAGTTGCAGAAGTAATGCACGTACATAGCCTTCGTACAAAGACCCGATCCACTCAAAGGTACAGCAGAGCGGGATATCTGTGTTTCTTACTTCGACTAGCTAGGAAATTCTCTGCTAGTCGAAAGATGCCGTGACTCGGAAGTGACGATATACAATCAGCCTTTATCAAAAAGCACTGCTGATCGACCATTAAGATGATGTGCCGATATAGGCTTCAGAAAAACAACTGAGCTTGAGTTTCCCTAATGTACGGCCACTGTTCGCAAGAAATGGTTGCAAGACAAAAAAAAACTCGAAACTCGCAATTCGCTTCAGTTAGCTACGATCATAGACATTCTAACATAGACCTAGACGCGTGTAACAAGCATACATCCTGCGACTTCACTTATATTTGTCTAATATAGCGCAAGCGACTTCGAATGCAAGCGGCACGATAAATCCGCAAGACGTGTAGGCTCCATAAGTTTAGCAGAACGGAATTCGGTGCCCCTAAACAGGAGCTGCGTAGCGCCTTTCCCTGCCTCTGAAGCGCTCTTTCAATCTAATAATAATAATAATAATAATAATAATAATAATAGTAATATACCGACTCGGACGCTAACCCGGCCCGCCCACAAATGTCTGACTGATGCTGATGCTTGTAGCGAAGGGATTGATGAGGCGGCAGCGTGCTGCATGAATACACGAGCACATACATGCAGCCGTATCTACCGTAGCGGTTATTGGCCAATGGGAAACTCGTCCGAGCTTCCTGAATCGTGTAGAACAAAACTGTAGAACCTCTGTTTGACCGTTTCATTTCGCTTTTTCAATATAGCGTCCCTGCTACCATATTAGACCGTGTATCGAATTATCTGCCTTATGTCTCATGAACAATGGAGATTAAGTATCATTACCCCTCAGCCTGCTTCCGTGCACTTCTGTGCGAAGAAAGTGGCACATTGCCATGTAACTCACCTATGTAAGTGGAAAGAACCGTCCTCGGAAGTGAGCACTGGGTTGTCTTAAAGAGGAAAAACTACCATGGAAAGTCTTTCTTTCGAGTTAGACTTCTCGCGGCCATGAATCTACAAATATAATAAGTGTTTACCTGAGTACCCAAACGTTGTTTGAGAAAACTTGTCGATGCCTTAGCTGCATTATGACTGGTGAACGCAAAGATTATTGATGGAGGTTGAATCGTGATCTTATATGCCTAAAAAATTTTCGCTGACCAAAATAGCCATCAAATAGACACTCAATGAGTAGAGCTATTCTAGAATAAGAGTGTGTATTACTCCCGAGAGCAATACACACTCTTATTCTTGAAGCTATGCTTTGAAAGTCAAATCCAAGAATGTAAAGTGACTTTGCAAGAGCTGTGTGAGTCAAAGTACTATAATGTAGCTAGTCAAATCGAGAGAAAGGACAAGTTCATTCACAGCAACGCCATCCTTGATGAAACCCGATTAAGCCGAGAGTTTTACCATTTATCTCTGACATTTATGTTTACAAAGATTTGTTCATTTCATTCATTTTGTCTCTTCTCGCAACCATTACAGATTCGAGCAGCAAGTTTACCTCATTGATAGCATCAATAAGCATAGTTGATGGTGGGTCCGTGTTCGTGAAATTGCTCAGTACATTCTTGAAAACATCAACGAAAACATCCGTATGAGATGTGCTGATGACGTTCGATACCACTGTAAAAACGTCTTCAATCTTGAATTCCTTTCAAGACAACCAATGTATATTGCTTGGTTTCCAAATATAAGCAAACAACTTCGAGCTGCCATAGGTACTCCAAATCCCGGCACGCGGTAGGCGTTGTCGGGTACTTCTTTTAAAGATAGCTGTACCCTCCTCTACAAGATGAATCCTTGCATGATGCGAGGGAGATGGGCCCGCAGTTGTAGAAGAGCACCACTTCCACAGTTAGAAAGTGCGCGAAAATGAAGCTGGAGGGTTGTGATAGCTGGTTGCCATTTACATTGCGTATACCACACACGATCCATGAAGTGCGACTTTTGAGTCCATGAAAAGGCACACCGCCACCACCAACCTGCGACCTCTTTTCGCTGCATTTTCGGGCGACGAAAGAAGCACACTTTTGCACTCGTTCACCTCACAACGGGAGGGATCCGGATATTCAGAAGTGAGCGTACAGCGTATCCTTTAGCGTGAAGACGGGTATTTTCTTTTGCAATAATTGTAATCATGTCTTCATCCAATATAAGACAAGATAACAGTTGGCTCGAATTCATTCTAGACAACATTCAAAACGAGGCCCTTCCCACCACGTCTCAGGAACGGGGAGTTTATGGTAACTCATGCTCGCGTACTTTTCATAATTAAAACTGAATTACAAAAAAACTGCATTTACCATTTTCGTCGAAAGTAACCAGGGAATACTGCTTGGGAATTTCATTACTCTCGGACGCTGCTACGAAACTGGCAATAATCTAAATTCAAAGCATTAGGAGGAAAGTTTCTGCTTAGTCTCCTCAGTCACCAGGGTTTAGCAGAAAAATGTCACGACACGTTGAATAGTGTGAGCGTACCAAAGTCCGCAAATATTTGGTTGTTGTTTTGGGTTGCACACGGCAAAAATATCGAAATTCATATTTGTGCTTACTGATTCGATCATATTTCCCTAATTAGGAAATGTTTTCTAACTCACATGGAACTTTGAATTACCGCTATTGATGGTTCGGAATGTTGGCCAGAAATATGAGAACCAAAAATGCTACCTGAATCTTCCAAGCGAGTCATAAGTGGCCAAAGTTGTCAAGTTTGCTAAGAACTCGACCACAGAGTGCCCGTGACATCAGTGGTTTTTGGGATAAAGTGATTATATTTACACATCAATCACATCAGTGATATTCTTACTAAGGGGTCAGACTACTCACGGGACGAAACCTAAATCCAAATGCCACATCTTGCTTAACCATCTTGTACGAGAAGCAATCTGTGTTTCCACGATTACAGCTAGCTGACCCTCTTCAAACCAATTACCTTTCCATTCAGAATTACTTACTTTATTACACAAATATTTGTGTGTAGGCATCGAAAACAACAGAAACAAAATAAAACGTCAAAACTCAACTCAACTCAACACAATTAGGAGTGATCATTGAAGAAAAAAATCAACGAATGACATAGGAACATAGTATACGCGTGACGACGAGCAAGGAGCAACATAGGAAAACATTACAAGGCCCTATGGACTCGAACTTTGCTAGCATATGAAGCTATATGTGGCCTCATGGACTCAAAAATTTGTCTAATAGTCTCTTGAACATTTTGCGGTTCAGTGGTATTGGCCCCTTCTTACTTAGCTTTTCAAAAAGAGGAATTGCTCTGAAGGTGAAAAATTTGCGCCTACAGTTTAGTTTTGCTTTACCCAGATGATATTTATTAGCACTACCTCGGGTAATGGAGGGTCTCAGTGGAACGAGGCTTTCCAACTTGACAGTTTCGCCGCGCATGAGTTTGTGTAGCAGTGAAAGATCATTTTTTCAAAGTTCCATAGGAACTTGCTAAAATTTCCTTTTCACCTCTTTATCTTTTACCCATATGTTTGCTTTATCTTGAATATTGGAGACTCGACGTCCGTGTTGGGATTCGATCCGCCGACCAAGAAATACAGCATGGTTTTCTGGCTAACCATCCACTTCCAAGAGCTAGATCTTATCAATACGGGTCAAATCATGCCTCTCAGCTGCTGTTTCTTTGTGAGAATATAGTATTGTTGGCTTTCGGAACCTCTGCTGTCCCATATCACGATGATCATTGTCAGTAAAAGACTGTTTGAAAAGCACATCGATCGTTTCTTCCAATAGTAGTACTCATAATAAATTAAACAGCTAAAGTATGTACTGACCTGCTGCAGATAAATACTCGGCATAACCATTCCAATATTTCGTTCTATCACAAGAGTTATCTGAAAAGATGACATAATCACGACAATTACAATTGACAATTAGTGTGACGATTCCAAATACCATGGTTCAAAAACAAAAAGAATTCTACTAATTCATTCATGAGCTCATGGGTTGCGATGTCACGATACCGGTTCTCTGCTATGAAGAGGGCCGGGTCATGAGTACAGAACGAGCAGTCCTTATCCTTATCACCAACTGCTTTTCACAAAAGAAGGGCGAATGTTAGATGGAACACTCATCAATTCCACTCGAATAAGAAGTGTTTACTACTGATATCTCTGATACCAGTCTGGCTGACGCGCACTACTGCGCGCATGGTTAAACCCATGGTACTACGATAACTGACAGGATTTTGTCCTGAGCACTAACACTTAGCCTAATTCCCATGTTTCGAGGACGACCCATTTCATCATGTTTCTCCATTTTAATGAACATTTGCCAGTGTTTGGTGCCTATCATATTTCTAAAAGCACCATTCGTTGGGATAGGACAGCATAGCGGTGGGAAGAATTTCGATGATAAAAAGTCGAAATCATAGTGGCTCTTATCATTCCTCACTGGCCAACAATTCCCTTTCCGGTGAAACTCGAGCGTTTAGCGGTGGAAGC